AGGCTTTGGTAACAGGTGTTAGTGACAGACGTTAGTGACAGGCGTTAGTGACAGGCGTTAGTAACAGGCTTTGGTAACAGGTGTTAGTGACAGACGTTAGTGACAGGCGTTAGTGACAGGCGTTAGTAACAGGCTTTGGTAACAGGTGTTAGTGACAGACGTTAGTGACAGGCGTTAGTGACAGGCGTTAGTGACAGGCTTTGGTAACAGGTGTTAGTGACAGACGTTAGTGACAGGCGTAAGTGACAGAGATTGGTAACAGGCTTTGGTAACAGGCGTTAGTGACAGTCATTAGTGACAGGCATTGGTAACATGCGTTAGTGACAGGCTTTGGTAACAGGCGTTAGTGACAGGCGTTATTGACAGGCATTTGTGACAGGCGTTAGTAACAGGCTTTGGTAACAGGTGTTAGTGACAGACGTTAGTGACAGGCGTAAGTGACAGGCGTTAGTAACAGGCTTTGGTAACAGGCGTTAGTGACAGGCGTTTGTGACAGTCATTAGTGACAGGCATTGGTAACATGTGTTAGTGACAGGAGTTAGTGACAGGCATTAGTGACAGGCATTAGTGACAGGTGTTAGTGACATGCTTTGGTTAACAGGCGTTAGTGACAGCCGTTATTGACAGGCATTTGTGACAGGCGTTAGTGACAGGCTTTGGTAACAGGCATTAGTGACAGGCGTTAGTAACAGACGTTAGTGACAGGCATTAGTGACAGGCTTTGGTAACAGGCGTTAGTGACAGGCGTTATTAACAGGCATTTGTTACAGGCGTTAATGACAGGCGTTAGTAACAGACGTTAGTGACAGGCTTTGGTAACAGGCGTTAGTGACAGACGTTAGGACCAGACGTTAGTGACAGGCGTTAGTGACAGGCTTTGGTAACAGGCATTAGTGACAGGCGTTATTGACAAGCATTTGTGACAGGCGTTAGTAACAGAGGTTAGTGAAAGGCGTTAGTGACAGGCTTTGGTAACAGGCGTTAGTGACAGACGTTAGTGACAGGCGTTAGTGACAGGCGTTAGTGACAGGTGTTAGTGACAAGCGTTATTGACAGGCATTTGTGACAGGCGTTAGTGACAGGCTTTGGTAACAGGCGTTAGTGAAAGACGTTAGTGACAGGTTTTGGTAACAGGCGTTAGTGACAGACATTAGTGACAGGCTTTGGTAACAGGCGTTAGTGACAGGCGTTAGTGGCAGGCTTTGTTAACAGGTGTTAGTAACAGACGTTAGTGAAAGGCGTTAGTGAAAGGCGTTAGTAACAGGCGTTAGTGACAGGCATTAGTGGCAGGCTTTGTTAACAGGCGTTAGTAACAGACATTAGTGAAAGGCGTTAGTAACAGGCGTTAGTGACAGGCATTAGTGGCAGGCTTTGTTAACAGGCGTTAGTAACAGACATTAGTGAAAGGCGTTAGTAACAGGCGTTAGTGACAGGCATTAGTGGCAGGCTTTGTTAACAGG